AGTTTGGCGGCAGTGGTAGCAGCACCACCATCCCCAGTGACACCACCAGTACTGCACCAGCGCCAGCAGCCGGGGGTGTGTGTGTATGTGTGTGTGGGGGGGTTCTTACATCCATCTGTCATTTGCTAGACTGGCATTTTTACAGTTTTTATATGTCAATTTTCTGACCTTTTTATTATGTTTATAGGGGCAAGGGGAAATCTGTCTTTAATGTAGGGCCAAGTGACAAGGGGCACCCCACCACCTCACATTTCTGGGGGTTGGGGAGCAAGTGGAGAACAACCTGACTAATAGGAATTTCAGAGACTTTCCCATTCTAGCCTGGAGACGACTGCTTAAACATCCAGTGTAAAATGAGAAAGCTCCCCCCCCAAAAAAGGGGGGGGGGAACTTTCATAAGAGGTCAGAATATCAACATTAACAGGAGTTTGGAAGAAGGTTGATTCCAAACATCATGAAAGACTTAGGGATCTAAGACTTTAGTAACTGCAGATTTGATGGGCATAGTAAAAGAAAAGTGTAGCCTGGGACCATCAGGTGATGTGCTGGATTCCCATGTGGTCATCTGCAGTTCAAATCCCAGACCCAGTAGCTTGAAAATCACACTGTTGTTGAGAACTAATGCCCAGAAAAAAAAAGATTCCTTTCAATATATTACTGGCCATTGACAACACACCTAGTCACTCGAGAGCTCTCATGGAGGTGTACAAGGAGATTTCTCTGTGTTCCCAATATCCTTAACATCCATTCCACAGCCCATGGATCAAGGAATCATTTTAAACTTTCAAGTCTTGTTATTTAAAAAACGTATTTTGTAAGACTCGAGCCACCATAGATAGTTGGATCTGATGGATCTGGGCAAAGCCAGCTGAACACCTTCTGGAAAGGATTCACCATTTTAGATGCCATTAAGAGCATTCATGGCCCTGCTCTGCCTGGCAGCAAACCTTGCCCCCCCACCCCCACCCACACACACACACTACAAAGTGATGAGTAGGAGGCCGCTGCAGTGAGCCTTGGAGCCCAGGGCGCAGGCAGGGTGGAGCCGCCGCCAATGCAGATCTTGGTGGTAGTAGCAAATACTCAAACAAGAACTTTGAAGACTGAAGTGGAGAAGGGTTCCATGTGAACAGTTGAACGTGGGATTTTATCTGTGGAGGATTCCCAGTTTGGCGGCAGTGGTAGCAGCACCACCATCCCCAGTGACACCACCAGTACTGCACCAGCGCCAGCAGCCGGGGGTGTGTGTGTATGTGTGTGTGGGGGGGTTCTTACATCCATCTGTCATTTGCTAGACTGGCATTTTTACAGTTTTTATATGTCAATTTTCTGACCTTTTTATTATGTTTATAGGGGCAAGGGGAAATCTGTCTTTAATGTAGGGCCAAGTGACAAGGGGCACCCCACCACCTCACATTTCTGGGGGTTGGGGAGCAAGTGGAGAACAACCTGACTAATAGGAATTTCAGAGACTTTCCCATTCTAGCCTGGAGACGACTGCTTAAACATCCAGTGTAAAATGAGAAAGCTCCCCCCCCAAAAAAGGGGGGGGGGAACTTTCATAAGAGGTCAGAATATCAACATTAACAGGAGTTTGGAAGAAGGTTGATTCCAAACATCATGAAAGACTTAGGGATCTAAGACTTTAGTAACTGCAGATTTGATGGGCATAGTAAAAGAAAAGTGTAGCCTGGGACCATCAGGTGATGTGCTGGATTCCCATGTGGTCATCTGCAGTTCAAATCCCAGACCCAGTAGCTTGAAAATCACAACAAATAAATAAATAAATGTTTTTAAAAAGTGTAGCCTGAAGATGTGACTAAATTGCTACAATCTCAAAATACAACTTTAACAGATAAGGAGTTGCTTCTTACAGGTGAGTTGAAAAAAGTGGTTTCTTGAGATGGAATCTACTCCCTATGAAGATGCTGTGAACACTGATATTGTACTAAAGGACTTAGAATATCACATAAACTTAGTTGATAAAGCAGCATCGGGGTTTGAGAGGATTGACTCCAATTCTGAAAGAAGTCCTATGGGTTAAAGCAACATTGCATGCTACAGAGAAATCTTTCGTGAAAGGACGAATCAACCAGCGTGGCAAAACTTCACATTTCTCCTATTTTAAAAAATTGCCACAGCCACCCCAGCCTTCAGCAGCCACCATCCTGATCAGTCAGCCGCCCTCAACATGGAGGCAGGAACCTCCCACAGCAAAAAGATTATGATTCACTGAAGGTTCAGATTATGGTTAGTATTTTTTAGCCCTAAAATATTTTAAAATTAAGGTATGTACATTTTTTAGACATAATTCCGTCACACACTTAATGGACTGCAGTATAATGTAAACATAACTTTGACATGCACTAGGACACCAGAAAATGAGTGACTCACTTTGTTGTGGTACGCACTTTATTGCGGTGATCTAGAGCTGAACCTGCACTATCTCTGCGGAGTGCCGGGATAGGAATCTGCTGGTAGGGCCTAATCCCTATCATATTTATCTAGGAATTTGTGTATGTGCATATGTGAGTATGGGTGCATGCACGTGCATGTGTGCACGCATACGTTGAGGGAGGGGACAACTTACAGACGTGTTGTTTGCTATGCATACTATCAAGACCTGTACACACACGCCTTCCTCCTGTCTCCAGCTTCCTCTTTGCAGGTCTCTACTGCCGGGTCACAGTTCGTGGCAAGACAGAGGAAGACCGCAGGTTCTAAGGGGGAAAATTCATCGCAAATAATTGAAAGTTTGGGGCTGAGAATGAAGAGAATTGGACTGTAGTTTCAGTTTTTCCCATAATTAACTAGTTGATTTGATAAACTGCCTCCCTTTGCAGCTTCTCATCTGTGAAATGAGGGAGTTGGACAAGCTGTTCTTCTCAGTCCCTTGCAGTGCTCATGTTCTATGGTTCTGTGATTATTATTGAGGCTGCTACCAAAAGTCGTTCTATCCTTTTTTTGTTGTTTTAAAATTTGCCAGAGGGTGTGTGCATTCACTGGAGAGAGGAGGAGAAAAGGGAGGGAAGCAAGCACCCCCTCTCCCCAATAGGGCACTGTCACACACAGTCCCTTCTCCATTTCTCCATCCTTTTGGGATTTGGGGCAATCATGCACACGTGCCCAGTGTATATTTTATGTTGCTGAGTCATAGACTCCAGCTGCTATGTTGGCCACCTGGGATCCAGCCACCTCAACCAGCAGGCCACAAACTGGCCCTGTGCTATGCTTTAAGTCACGCGTTTTATCAGTGGCAGCCATTGCAGGTTGCATTTATTAGTGTGCAGCTTCACTTATGGTGCAGCAGTCTTCACAGATGCATACTTAATACTAAGATTTAGCTTTCCTTATCTTGTAGCATGCTTTCATTTCTGTTTTGTTTCATTTTTAATTCGCTATGGGGGGAGTCGGCAGGTGGCAAAGTGGTTAAGGTACTGGACTGCCATATGGCTTTTTGTGGTTTGAGTCCTAGATCTGGTGGGCTTAAAACTCAACGCTAGGGGTGTGTGTGTGTGTGTGTGTGTGTGTGTGTGTGTGTGCGCGTGTGCACACGCGTGCAGAATCCCAGGAGAAAAAGAAAGGAAAAGGGATTTTGGCATGGCTACACACCCCCAGGGGGGGTGATTTCTCACTTTCCCTCTCATGCTTTCTCCAGTGAGCCACATTCCCTGTGACAAAAAAAAAAAAAAAATTTGCTATAGGGTACTTGTACTTGCCAGAGAAGGAGAAAATTAGAAAGCACCCCCTCCCCAGGGGGAGATGATCATGCCATAATCCCTTCTCCATTTCATCCTCCTATCAGGATTTTGGGTGGGTGCGCACACACACACACACACACACCTGCTATGTTTTACAAACTGCCAGGTCTGGGACTAAGACCATGCTGTTGGCCATGTGGGATCCAGTCGTCTTAACCACTATGCCTCTGTCTGGCCCAAGCATTCTCTTTCCTGTTTAAAGAGAGATATATATATAGTATTAAACCTGTCAGAGTTAGACAGCTACTGGTTTTTTGCCCTTATTTCTCAAAATCTAAACATTGACTCAAATACCTCTCAAAAACATTGCTGGAATGAACTTTTGGGGAAAACTTTTAGAACCCTAGAGTTGAAATGAAATTTGATTTTTTCTAGCTGAGACTTGTACCTAGGAATGGAAACTCCAGGGAAGGAGTTTCCAGAACTCTGCTCCTAAGTCACAGCTTTATCTTAAGTGCCACTGTGAACTAATAGGTCACTTAGGAGGCCTTTGGCTGCAGTTAGCAGAGATCCCAAATTGAGCTAGCTTGAATGCTAAGGGAACTACTGACTCACTCAGCTAAATACAAAGGAAGGACAGGCATTAGGTCAGTGCAGTCCAGTGTCATAGGTTCTGCCTCTCTGGAATCCTGAAACTGCTTGGCTTTATTCTCATTGTGACAGACGACTCCCGTAGTTGTTTTTTTCCTTTGCAATCACACGTTACGTCACCAAAGTTTCATCCTCTTGACGTTTGTGTCCAGCTAGTTCTTTGTTACAAGGCTGTCCTGTGGCCTGTGGGATGTTTGTCTGCATCCTGACTACTATTCACTGGATGCCAGCAGCATCCCAGCCCTGAGTTGTGATCATCAAGTATGTCCCCAGATCCTACTGAATGTGCCCCGGGAGGCGCGGAGGGGGCCAGAAGCACTCTGGTTGAGAGCAACTGGTCTAAAGGAAGGCAGGCCTTTTCACCAAGTTGGTATCTTACCAGTTTCCCACAAGAGCCCAAATTTGCCTTTTTTTTTTTTTTTTTAATTGATTCAGCCTGAGTCATACCCTGTTCCTGAACCCATCATGGGTGAAGGGTAGGGACTGTCCCTCAGACTATTCAAATCTCCCCTGGAGCTAGGAGTATGACCATGGCGTGGGGGGAGTGCCTCAGTCAAGTTTGGGGAAGGAGGAGTGGGGGCTAGGTGGGAACCCAGTATACCCATGACCTCCACACTCTACTTTTACCTTTTTCTTTTTTCCTCCCAGTGAGGATTATGGAAAGAATTTTAAGGATATCACAAATCTCATCAATAACACCTTCATTCGGACTGAGTTTGGGATGGCTATTGGTCCTGAGAACTCTGGAAAGGTGAGACTCATCTTTGCATCCATAAAGCTTGTGTTTGATGGCCCATGCAGGGCTGTTAGGTACTAGTCTTGGAGCCCTTCAGTGACACACAGTAGTGTATTTTAGTTTAACAGTGCTGTATTTTAAAATTAAACATAGTTTAATACTGATCACAGAATAATGAGATTCACACAAGTTTTTGTTTGTTGGTCTCTGTCCAAGGTATACCAGAGCCCTCCATAATTGGGTGGTGGTTGCTTAGCTTACAATGTACACTCCCCATGGCAACATTTTATTCTTCTGAGAAACTGACTCAAAATCTAATCTCAAAACAGAGTAGGCTTAAATTCACAGGCTGATGCACTAGTGCAATTCAGGGTGATACAATTTTTTTTTTACAGTTTATGTATTTATTTATATCATTGTCAGGAGGCACATGTGCTTGCTAGAGAGAGACAGGCACAGAGGGGAAGGCCCTCTCACGTGGGGCAAGATCACACCACAATCCCTTGCCCTGTACTTCTCCATCCCATCAAGATTTTGAGTTTCCACATGCACACGCTGGCTTGTTTTCCAAGCTACTAGGGCAGGGTTTGAACCACAGGCAGCCATGTGGGATCTAGCTCTCTGAGCCACTTGAGTGGAGTAGAGCAACTAGAATAGTTTTATAACTCTTCTTACTTTCGGAACTAATGTCTGATGACAATAGTGTAAGGATTTCCTTTGCTTTCATGGTGTCATCCCCTAAATCTGATCTTTCTTTTTCCTAATCAGGTAATACTAACAGCAGAGGTGTCTGGAGGAAGTCGTGGGGGACGAATCTTCAGATCATCAGATTTTGCAAAGAACTTTGTTCAGACAGATCTTCCTTTCCATCCGCTGACTCAGATGATGTATAGCCCTCAGAACTCTGATTACCTCTTAGCCCTCAGCACTGAAGTAAGTCCGGTTGAGGAACTTGGCTTGCCTTTTGCGTTTTTATAATCTCAAGATCTACTGTCTTAGGAGGACCCTGTAGGTACTGCTTTTATATTGGACCTTTTCTTGTGTCTGCTTATGGCATGGAGTGTGTATCTCTTTGCATTTTTTCCCTATTTGGTAAAAGGCGTGATTTCCACGTGCTGTCTGTCGCAGGTAAGTATGATGTTCAGTTGTCATCACAGTTTTCTTAAGTGAATAGATGTGTGCTATTGGAGGAATGAACTAGAGAACAGGTTGATGTAACCAGTCTTGTGTTGCAAGGGACAAGCCTCAATTGTCACACTCCTAATGTTGTTACCGTTCTTTCCTATGGCCAAACCACGTGATTATAATTGTTTTCTTTGTTGTTAGTTCCTTGGTAAACAGAGTATATTTTCTTCTGTCTATGACACTCATGTATAAAATACCCAGTCTCAAATCCCTAAACCTTGTGCCACATTCCTGTGCTTTATCTGGAAGCCCGTGTCCCTTCCTATCTCTCCCCTGTCTTCTGAAAGTTCCTCCCTGAGGAGAGCACTCAGCTTTCCCTCTCCTGGAGGAAAAGTTTTCTTTATCACGGATGCTCAGGGCGCAGGTGGCTGAGTCACTAGACTGTAATAATCAGGTATACTTTGTATGGCTCTCTCTCACCTTACTTCTTAAGAGTGCGGTCTGCTGACGGCAGTGTCAGATAGCAGCACCTGAGGAGCTGGTTTGAGAAGAACGTCCTTAGGCTCCAGTCCAGATAAAATAAAGCAAGACTCTTGGTTGCCAGGTGGCTCATATTCTTAACAAGCTTCCCCACTGAGCCCGTGCACTGAGATCAGAAAGCCAATTGTTCTGGGGACAGAACCAGGATCATCAGCTGTGGACTCGGGCTGAGTGGAGGGGTAGCGTCCGGAGGTGGTGGGGCACTATAGGAGAGGTCTGGAGTCTGGACCTTCTGTGGGAAGTTGTTGGGCAGAGGTGAGGTTGGGGAGCTTAGGGAGGGTCAGATTTATGCTTCGTCAGTGGAGGCCAGGGAACGGAAACTGCCTTGCTAGGGGATAGCTTCAGATCTGAGAGCAGTAAGTCCTGGGAATAGGCCTCCAACAGCTTGAGCCATACAGGGAAACTAAGAGCCCTCTGTAGGGATGGACAGCACCCTAAATCCCCCTTTGAATGCCTAATAACCAAGTATATCAAGGTTATTAAACAAGGCTACCTTCAGGAAGTGGCAGGTATTGTCTGCTTTTATATCTGACATTTCTTCCAATTAATGCTAAGTGTGAAGTAAAATAATTGGGGTGGAAAAGACAGACCAATTTTTACTCAGGTGTGCATTAGTGATAGTAGACCCTTTCTTGTTTTTTACGTCAAGTTAAGTGAATTAGAAATTCTGGGAGTGCATGTTGTGGGGAGGGTAGTTAAAGGAGAATGGTAAGTGAGTCAGGGGAATGTTGAGAGGTTCTGTCTAGACCATGCCCATTTAATTCAGCTGTAAGGACACCTCTGTCCCATCTCCAAGGACGCTGAGTCCAGCGAGCGAGCGTCCGTTGCCAGTGTCCTTGACATCGTTAGTCTTATCTTACTAAGTCTCTCCTGCATTTTAACGTGCTGGCCAGTCACTCCTTTTGGGATCGCCGCTGACTTGGCTTCTGTGACGTTACTATAGCTTCTACCTTTCTGGCCATTCCTTCTTGGTCTCTTTCTTAAATTCACTTCTATCTACCCTTACATGTCAACTGTACATTTTACTCTGAGCAATCTCTTTCACTCTTACCATTTAACTACCATTTAAAATGTTGAAGACTCTCAAATCCTCATCTCTAATCCTGGCTTCCCCCTGGGGCTCCGGATTACTATCTTGTTGCCCCCTGGGTATCTCTAACTGGATATCCCACAGGCACCTTAGGCTCAATCCAAAACTAAACTTTCCCCCTGTCCTGCAGTCAGACACACTGCTCTTCCCTTAATCCTTAGACTAGTCAGTGCCACCACAACATGTCTATTATTCCTGTCAGAAGCCCGGAGTGATCGCCGTTCTCTCTCACACACACCACACTGCCCTACAGGGAAAGTCATTCTGTTCTGTTCTAGCTTTTAACTTCTCATCGAGCCTGTTCTTCGTTTCTCTCAGCCTGATTCAGGGCCTCCTTGACTCTTGCTTGAGCTAATGTTACTCACTGCTTGTCAAACTTCTAGTGTGGGCCTCCTGAAATCCATCTTTCCCTTTCTCATTCGAGTACTCCACCTAGAAAGTGAAACTGACTATGCCATTTCCCTGCTGAGAGTGCCTTACTCCTGATAGCACCAGACTCAGCATGGCACAGAAGGGTGCTCTGTATGAGCTGGCCTTCACCTGTCTTTTCAGCGTTAGCTGCTCATTTCCTCCCTTGGGAATTCTAGCCTCATCAGTGTCCAGAGGCCTTGAGCTCCCTGCACACACTGCAGTGCTTTATCACCTCAGTGCCTTTGCCAGTGCTAGCCTGTCTTGGGCTAAGCGCCTCAACTTCCTACTGGACATCTTTTGGTAACATTGCTCCTCCTCTGTATTGCTCCTCCTCCGTGTTGCTCCTCCTCCTGTTGCTCCCTGCTTCTCTCGCAGCCTGTTTCCCTAATGCTTGCCACATTGCTCCTACCTGGCCCCTGGTTAAACAATGAGCTCCTGGGAGCAAGGAGTGCCTCTTAGTCATCTTTGTATCCCCAGTGTCCTGCACATAGTAGGCACTTGATATGCCTACTATGACATTTGTTATTCTGAGACCCAGAGGGACTCAGATAAACATGGGCAGCTCTGATGGGACATCAGTGTGTGTTTTTACTGTTCTCATTGATTGGATATGAATTATTAAAGGTCATATAAGCAGCTGCACAGGATAAGACTGGAATTTTGATAAGTCATTTATAATCTTTCAGAATGGCCTGTGGGTGTCCAAGAATTTTGGGGGAAAATGGGAAGAAATCCACAAAGCAGTGTGTTTGGCCAAATGGTGAGTAACAGAAGACTCCATCTGTGCAGAGGCTAAACCTTTCTTAAGAGTTCTGCCAAAAGTCACATGGATAAGTATCGAGCACTGCCAGGTTCTCTTCTGGGTGCATAGGGATGCCAGAGAGGGTATGACGTGGACCGTGACCTGGAGGATCTTGTAATTCTGCTGGAAAAGAAGACTTCATCTCACTAAATGTTAGGATAGAAAATAAGGCACATGACTGAGTAGCTACTGCCTGCAAAAACTTTATTCCCCATAAATGGTGACATCAGTAGGAGCATAATGAAATACAGCATTAACTTGGGGATTTCAGTGCATCTCTGTGCCCAGATTTCTGCTCCCTTGTCTAGAGATCCATTTGAGTTATGTAGAGCATAGCAAGGAATCAGAAAGAAAGCAGAAAGCTTCGGAATCACTGTCTGTGTCAGACAGCTCATTCTCTGCTCTAAGCAGGACCTCACGCCCCCACTGGGCACCCACTTCTAGGTGATGAGGGGTGGGGGAGCAAGGTTGCCTTTGTTCTAACCCTGCTCTTCTACTAATTGGTGGCAGAACCTCTCTGGGTTTTAGTTTTTCCCTTCTATTAAAAGAGATTTGTTTGAGGGAATGTGAGGGATGACTGAGCAAGAATTAGGAGCTTTCAGACCTTCGCAGTTCTGATTAGACTCAGACCCTTGTTTAGAACCTCCTTCTTACTTCCCTTTGACTAATTTCAACAAATCGGTTAATCTACTTTTCCAGTTTATAGCAGAGTGCTGCCAGAGGGTGGGATGCATGGCTGTTGGCAACACACACAGGCAGATCTGAGAGCCTGAAGGAGGCCAAAGGACTGGCAGAGCAGACAGAAACTTAGGGAACGTAACAGTGTGAAAGTATCTAGTGCAGAGCAAGAACTGCAGTAACTGCTAATGGGAACACTCGGATGTGATTGACGTTCGTGATGATGACCCATTATCCCCAGGAAAAGTTTAACGTGCTCTACTTAGGGGATGAGAAAATTGTAATACAGATTTCAAAATTAATTAAAATACTAAATATGTTGTTTAAATGAAGTGGGCCTTTTCTAGAAGTGCTTCTTGAATGAGGTTTAAAAACACCACTGTGATACACATGCCATATGTGCTTTTACTTTATGCATTTTAATGAATTATGTTTGTATCTTACATTATTTTATCAGGAAGGAGGTAATTTTTAAGTTAACTAAGTTAACAAATTGTTTCATTCCTGATAGACCTAAAATATGTAGGGCATGTTTAAGTAAGATTATCATAATTTTGATCATCAAAACTCATCTTTAAACTGAAAAGTTACTTTAAAACAGTGTTCTATTTTGTATCCTATGCAAGGTTTTTTTTAACCTGGCACACACATTTTTTTTAATGTCTAAACATAAGGTAACTGAGATGCTGTGTGCTCACCTTTTAGATTTTTGATTTCTAGGAATTTGCAATCTAAAGTTCTGAAAAAACATCCTCAAACCTAGCACCTTTTACTGGTGATAATCTGTAAATACTATCAGGGTCTGACTCTAGTTTCCTGCAAACTGTCTCCGAGTTACATTTTAAATAATTCAAAGTCTGACCTAGTTGTCTATTTGAGATGAAAGAACTAAATTATTTAGCTAATTCAAAGCACTGAACTGGATTCTGAAGAGAAACAACGAAGCATAAAACAGGGCACCTGCCCTGAGGAAGCCAGCTCTGCAGTAGGAGAGGGGAGGCGTACACTGTGCCATGCAGACAGCTAACCTGGAGACAGGTGTCAGTGGCTGGTTTAAAGAGGCATGGTGCTCTAGAGCATCACAGGTGACCCCTGAGGTCGACGAGTCTTCCTTGCAGAGGCCATCCTGTGCATGGTAAGATGTTTAGCAGCATCCCTGGCCTGCACTCACTAGATGTTGGTAACAACTCCTGCTCCACTGCCACCTCCCTTGGCCACCCCAGGTGCAACAACAGATAATGTCTCTAGATATCACCAGATGTTCCCTGGGAGGCGGAATTGCCCCGAGTGTCTAGTCAGTCATGCTCTTCCTTCATTCAGGTCTCAGAGAACCCATGCAGACCTCCCTGTCTGAAATAGTGGTTGAGAACCACTGCTCTGGAAGTGGGCAGCAAAGAAGCCTGTCAGTTGGAATGACAGGGAATGCCTTGTGAAAGAGCTAGATTTTAAGCTGATGCCAGAAGACCGTGAGGTTGAGATTTGGTTACATGAGAGACAAGCATTATAGGGAAGAAGCAGCCTGAGCAAATTTAAGAGGCATATTTGAAGAGCATAAGGAAACTAGTTGGACTGGCTAGGAGAGTCCAGCAAAGAAGCCATGGACTGTGGCTAATATGTGGGACCAGGCTGTGGGAGCTTGACTGAGGGGGCTGTGGAGAATTGGTGCATGCACCTGAGGTGGCTGCGTCAGCTAGGACCTGTGAGTAAAGCTCGCTAGGCTTGCCAGGAGCTTTGTGACTAAGGTTGACACAGTCCATGAACATTCTTAAATCGTTTCTTTTTCCTGTGTTTGTCTCACTGTAGGGGATCAGAAAACATCATCTTCTTTACCACTTATGTGAATGGCTCCTGCAGTAAGTATGTTTCAGTCTCAGAAAAGAGTGTCCTATTGGCTATTCATGGTAGGATATTCTGGGTTGTATGAGACAGAAGCATCAAAGATTCTTCCAGTCTCCTGAAATTTTAATAGCAAAATATAACTGTTAATTATTTTTAAAATATTAAAAATACATCCAAATTTCTACACTATGCCCAGATAAAATAAAAATGTCGTCTATGTGTAGAGGCAATATACTTAATTATAGCAAAACAAATAGTAGGCTATAGTATATACAGAAATGTATAGTGATTTCTGCAAACGAGCATAGATCTTGTTTGTGTTGGTGGACGCTATTGGGTCCCATTAAAGTACAATTTAAAAGCAGAAAGCAAGGTCTTTCATTTATTCATTCAACAGATACTTGAGAATCTACTGTACACTGGTCTAAGGATGGAGAAAACAAAACACCTAGTGCCTGCTCTCTTAGAATAAAAATTTGGGGATGGGGGACAGCCAGTAAGTGGCATGGTAATTAGGGCACTGGACTCCCACATGACTGACTGGGGTTCGAGTTCCAGACCCAGCAGATTACTTCTTTACTTTTCCTTTCTTTCTTTCTGTCTCTCTTTAATCAGATTTTAAATAATAATAATAATAACAAGTCAAATCAAATAAAAAAGTCTTTAAAAGAATATAAATTTAGGTAGAGCTGTTAGATAATAATCAAGGAAACTGAAGCTCAAATGAGACAATATAGAGGCCTTCTTAAAGGCACCTTCATGCCTCCTGAGAACTAGCCATTTCAGGGGAGACAGAGAAATGAAGATTTTCCACTGATAATTCAGTCTCCAGCACACACACTCATGTGGTAGGAAGACTTTCAAGCCTCCTGTCTCTGTATCTGTCTTTGTTTCTCTGTTGCTTGCATGCTGCGTGGTTTTCTAATTTTTGCTTTTTTTAAAATTTTGTTTTAATTATTAAATTTTTTTAGTTTTTTTTTTTTTTTTTTAGTTTTTCTCTTAGTTTTTTCTTTTCTTTTTCTGTTTCCTGTTTCTTTTTTTGTTGTTGCTGTTGTTTTTCTCCCTCTGTTTCCTTTTCTGCACGCTTCTCGACACTCAGATTGAACTTCAAGTTTGGGAAGAAACACACCATCCATCAGATGACTAGAAATCACCGCAGGGCCAAGAGAAATATGGGAAAGCAGGAAAATACCTCTCCTCCAAGGGGAAAGAATAACTCCTCTTCATCCATAGACAGTTCAATGGAAATCATGGAAATGTCTGATAAAGAATTTAGGACATTCATAATGGCGAAGCTAAAGAGTTGGAAGAGAAGAGAGACAATGAAATACAGAAGAGGCAGGAGAAAGAAGCTGACGAGTTCCAGGAGGTGAGGAAATTCATGCAAGATCTAAAAGAGGAATTACACACTTTACAAAAGAATCAGATGGAACTGTTAGAGATGAAGGCTATAATACAGGAAGTCAAAATCTCCCTTGGAAGTACTAAAAGCAGGCTAGATCATACAGAAAATAGAATCTCAGATGTAGAAAATTGCTGGCCTAGAAAAATCCACCATGAAGACTGAGAAAATGGCCCAAATATTTGAGAATAATATACGAAAAGTACTAGATACCATCAAATGTCCAAACATCCGGATAATAGGTATCCCAGAAGGCGAAGAGACTCAGAAGGGCATTGATAATCTATTCCATGAAATCCTGCAAGAAAACTTTCCAAACCTAGAGAGGCACTCAAAGATCCAGTCCAAAGAAATACAAAGGACCCCAAATTGAAACAACCTAAGAAGATCTTCTCCAAGACACATTATAGCCAGACTGACCAAAACCACATACAAAGACAAAATACTAAGATTGGCAAGAGATAAACGGCAAGTTACTGACAAAGGATATCCTATCAGACTAACAGCAGACCTCTCATCAGAAACAACGCGAGCAAGAAAAGAATGGGAAAATATATTCAAAGTGTTAAGGGAAAAGCAACTTCAACCAAGAATACTGTGCCCAGCAAGATTATTCTTCATATGGGAAGAAAAGACAAGAACATTCTCAGATAAAGAAAACTTGAAAGAATTTACCAGCACCAGACCAGATCTCCAAGAAGTTCTTAAGGGCATGCTATGTCAGGAAAATTAAATGCAGACACACAGAAATAAGAGTTCAAAAACTAAGAAAATGGCCAATTTAATTGTAGGGACAAGTCTGGAGCTGAATATTATATCCTAGAATTCAATCGGGAAGATCGAACCACAACAGAAGATAGATTAAGTACATGAGACTGGACTGGCGAAATAGCATTCTGTGACTTTTGGATTTGAAGACAAGTGTAGACAGCAGAGATAGTGTAATAAGAGAGTAGGAAAGGGCAGAGGGTCAGACATGGGGTTAAAAAAAAAAATATATATATATATATATATACATATGAAACTAGAAATGGAAAATTACTGGTGATAATATGCATGATTAAGCCATTATGCAGCTTATTCTAGATGGGAAACCACATTTGGTATGATGCTTAGGGAATAAAAAAAAAATTCAGGAGAAAAAAAACCCACAAAAACTGTTTTTATTGAAATTAAAAAAAAAATGCGTGTTTGATGACTGCAGTAAGCTATATAGCCCCAACTAGGTGCTACTTTATAGTATGTTCATTCTACTCACTGAGGTTTATGCCTAAAGTCAGACTTGGGTTCATGTATATGTATATATCAGCTGCGCTA